TTGCTGCAGGGCCCCGGCACAGCCCATGCAGGGGGCTCTGCGCAGCTCAGCTTGGTCCCTGCTGAGAGCCAAGGACCCCCCTCCATCCCGCCCCAGTGGGGCATTGCGAGCTCTCCCCACGGAAACCGGCTGTGCCCCCCCAGCACCAGGCAACGGCACCCTCCTGCCCCCAGCTTGGCTATCCCCCTGCACGCTGGCACGTACAGCTCGGGCCAGGAGGTGAACTGCAGGTGGATGACGGTGCGCTTGAGGCTCTGGTCGCAGAACTGGAGTGTGATCATCCTCTCCACGTGCGTGGGCGCAGCTTTGAGGCTGGTCAGGGTGAGGGTGATGGGCCCCTGCACCATGGGCTGGCCCCGCTCGGCCGGGAAGTAGCGCACCACCTTCTGCTGCGGGGAGAGAGAGCCGGCTCAGGAGGCCCCGCGCCACCCCAGCCCCAGTGCGAAAAGCAGACTGCCCCTGCCCAGCTGACATCTCCCCCCTAGCCTTCCCCAAGACCCCGGCCCTTAGCTCAGCTGATGCTCACAGGGATAGGAAGCGGCTGTGATCAGAGCCCACCAATACCGGGGGCAAGAGGACGCTTGCTACGCTGCCGATACCTGGGCTTCATGCTTGCTTGAGCCCCAAAGCAGCCAGGGCTGCTGCTCCCCCAGTGCTGCCAGCGTCCTGGCAGGCTCTGGTCTTCACAGCTGCCCTGGAAGCTCAGCAGAGACAGAGCCCATGGCCCTAGCACTACAGCTGCACGCCAACCCACAGCGGACACCAGAGCTGCCTCGCTTTGCTTGGCCAGGGCCCGAGAGCAGCCGGGCAAGGTGGGGAAAGGCCGTTCCCAGGGCCTTACCTTCTCAATCTCCTGCTCGGAAACCAGCATGACGACGACCGACACCTTTTGCTCGTAGATCATGAGCCAGAAGTCAGCGGCAGTGCCCACCAGCGGGGCCTGGGTGGCAATGATGGCAGGGCAGTAGGGCGAGAGATCCTCGATGCGGCTGGCATTGATGTAGTCGTCCTTGCCGGAGTGCAGGACCACGCGGTTCCTGTCGTAGGGCATGATGTCCTGGTGCCGGTTCTTCATGGAGTAGCAGCGGGCGATGGCGATGGACAACTGCCGGGCGTCCCTCTCCTGGGCATCCTGTAGGTCCTTCCAGACGGCATCCAGCTCGCTGGTGCTGCCGCCTGCGGGCTGCTCCAGCCCGGCTACCAGGGCGCGGAAGCGCTCCAGCTCGGCGCGTAAGCGCAGGACGCGCTCAGGCTTCTCGTAGGGGTCGTTCTCGATGAGCTGCACGGCCCTGGGCTTGGCGCCGTCCTTGGCATCCGCCTTGGTGGGCTGCAGCAGCGGCGGGCTCACCGCCGCCTGGGAGCCCCCGTGCTGGCTCTCGGGGCTCGACGACAGGAGGTCGTCGGTGGAGGAGCTCTGCCGGTGGAACTGCACCTCGCCAGGAGCCGCGCCGGGGGTGAGCGAGGGCGGGGCCCGCTGCGGCAGGGTGGCGGGGCCGGCTGTGGCCGGCGGCACCATGGTCAGAGAAGGTTGTGGGGACGGTGCCGGGGAGGGCATGGCCGGGCCTGCGACCACCACCCCACCCGGCATCTGGCTCAGTGCCGGGCTGGGCACGGGGGCCACGTGGTGAGGGCCAGACTGACTAGAGGATGCGGGCTGGGGACCGCCCAGTGGTACGGGCCCCGGCGGCATCGGGCCCGCCTGGGTACCCGGATGCCGGGCATTAGAGGGAGGGCAGAAGGGCACGGCAGAGACGAGCGGTGCAGGGGAGCCCGCGGGCACCGGCTGCACGGCGGGCAGCGGGTGGAGCTGCTGCCCCGGGGCCAGCATGGCGGCAGGGCCGGGCTGGGGCGGCCCGTGGGGGAACGCGATGTTCCCAGAGTGCGGGGGCAGCTTGTCCTGAAGCGGCAGCTGGTAGAGCCGGGTCCTCATGTGCAGGGCAGGCT